CCACTTGTAAAATAGTATTATATCTACATAAAACCCTTTAAAACCCTTTAAAACCCTTTAAAACCACTTGTAAAACCCTTTAAAACCCTTTAAAACCACTTGTAAAATCCTTATAAAACCCTTGTAAAACATATTAACCCTTGTAAAATCTTTTTAAAACCCTTGTAAAACCCTTTAAAACCCTTTAAAACCACTTGTAAAACCCTTTAAAACCCTTTAAAACCCTTTAAAAACCCTTGTAAAACCCTTTAAAACCCTTTAAAACCACTTGTAAAATCCTTATAAAACCCTTGTAAAACATATTAACCCTTGTAAAACCGTTTAAAACACTTTAAAACCTCTTGTAAAACCATAGGATTAGTACCAAAAATGATACTCAGATATCAAGGACTTTTTAAACAAAAGTAGATCAATATACCTTTGCTGTAGGTTCAGCTGTATCATCTTCAGAACGAATCTTCTGGCTGTTTTCATCATCTCCAGCATAGCTCCCGTCCTCTGTGTTAGGCTCACGAATGGAATCTTCAAATGTACTAGGACCACATTCATCATCTTCTTTGTTATCACCATCGACATCAATTTCACCATCTCTACTTGGACCACATTCATCACCTTCTCTGCTATCACCATCAACACCAATATCACCATCTATATTGGGACAAGCTTTGTCAGACTGCTACAGAATCAAAACAATCATATTCAGTAAACAAAAAACAATATGTAACAAAAAAGTTTGGTTCAAGAGGTGTGTGTGTGAACAGTTAAGAACTTTTTAAAAACTTTGGTTCAAGAGAGTGTTGCCCAGCTATGGATCCTATAATAATAATAATACTTAACGGATCAAAAAAAGTTTGAATACCTTTGTAAGAACTTTTTAAAAAACCTTGTAAATTATTTAAGATGAGTTATAAAAACATTCTGAATACTTGTAAAAAGCTATCCGAATTTTGATTGAAAAGGATTTAATAAAATTATTCACATACCTCTTCTGTTCTGGCACATGTTTCTTCTTGTATATCAGACTGCAGAAAAAAGGATACAGATATCTTAATATATACTATATACACATGTAACTGACAAAAAAAAAAAAAAAAAAAAAAATCCCATTTAGTTACCTCTTTTTTTTTGCATCTCTCAGTCTCATCTTTTTCAAAACGGCTTTTAAGAACATACTCTATTACTGCAATCCTCCTGTTGAAGTCTTGAAGTAAATTTAGGATCTTGTCGAGTTTCTGGCTGTCAGACAAGTTGTTATTCATTGATTGTTCCCCTATTTCTTGTAATACAGTAAAAATATCAACAAATCCAGCACTCCAATCAGTTGCTTTGAGTCTGTATCCATTTTGAACAAGACGAACAATTTCTTCGAAGTCTATGTCGTCTTCATGCGAACTAGCAACTAAATAGCTATATTCGTACGGGTTTCCAATCACTGTATTAACCTTGACCTGGCAAAAGAAAAGAACTTGTAAAACCTTTAAAAACTCTTGTAAAAATATGATATATGTTGAACATCAATCTTAAAACTAAGGCAATTAAAAAAGGGGATTCCACACTTACTGAGTTCATTTTTTTGACGACATCGACAACATGAGAAAATCTTGGTGTTTGAGTTGTTTCCCATTTCAAACACAAAGGATACTCAGATCTCGATGTAACACATTCTGTTGCAAACGCTGAGCCCAAAGATGGAACTGCGCTGAAGGCCCATAGTAGTATCGCCATTGCAAATCCCTTTACTTCATATGTGCCTCTTGCCCAAGTATTCTCATTTATCCGTTGGATGCTTGTAGCAAGAACTCTATATGCATGCTTGCCCCACGGTTGAGATGTGTAGATTGCGAATTCTGAAGCATGTACCAGTCTAGACAAAGGGATTTTCTCCAACGAACCTGGTGTAAAGAGAAAGGCTTCTGTCAAAATTACCATACCTAGACTCAGTTTCTCTTCAGCATCCAGCGGATGCAGCTGATTTGGTTCAAACAAACGTTTTTGGAGTTGTTCCAGCGTAAAATGCTCTTTCTGAGTCCAGAAATATGGAGCTTTTGATGGAGCTTTGCCTTTTCGAAGCATTTCACTATCAATCAGGTCACACTGAACACCTGTAAGTGAATACAAATTTGATATTAGAGTTTTATAAAAACTTGTAAAACACATTGTTAAATGTTTTTAAATACATTGTAAAACTTTTAAAACACATTGTAAATTGATTAAAAACTTACAAAACAAAACTAATTTAGATATACCTGTGGTAAGCAAGAATTCTCTCTCTGAGAATCGCATTGGCTGGGAGTCAAATGTGAACCAGAGATTCTTCTCCTTTAAAAGCAACCTTCGCTGCATCAAGAAGTGGAAAATCTTCCCCGAAAAATTAACTCCACTTCTTTTTGCTAGTTCAATAATAGGACCAAGGAAAGAGGCTTTAATTAGATTAAACTGTTCCTCCCCTAGTGCGAGCTCAACTTTTTTGACCAAATGCGTTTCAAAATGTTGAATAACAACAGCTCCAATGTTTGGTTCAAACCCGGGATTATATATACGGGGCGGTAGGTTAAGCACATCCAATGATTCATTGTTAGACATCTGCGTAAAAACCAAGCATAAAAACCATATCAAGAATGTAAAACATTTAAAACGGTTGTAAAATACAGAAAAGGAATAATTCAGCATTTAAGACCTTTTTAAAACGGTTGTAAATTACAGCAAATGAATAATTCAGCATTAATAACGAACCTTTAAAAAATGTTGTAAAATCCACAATTAACGATTATAAAATCAAGAAATGGAATAAATCAGAGAGGATATACCCTAAATCAAGCATTAAGAAGCATTTACAAGTTAAGAACGAACCTTTAAAAATGTTGTAAAATCTACAGTTCAAAATCAAGCAGTCAAATCAAGCGTTATCAGTCAATAATGAGATAAAAAATAGCTTCAAGAAGACCAAACTTTCACAGAAACACAGAATCTAAACCACATAATCAAACCACAGAATCTAACTTCCAAAAGACAAACCTTTCAAAAAAGCTTCTAAAACATAGTGAGGAATCTAACCTGGAATCGATGTAGGACAGATCGAAATAAAACACAGACGGAGACGGAGACGCTGAGAAATCAAAATCGAACAAAAAGATGTTAACGCCGATCGAAATCGAACAGATCAAATCGAAAACGAACAACGAGATTTTACCACCGATAGAAAGCGAAATCGAAAGGAGACGCCGATTTGATATCGGAATCGAGATAACGGAATCGAGATCGGAAAATCGTCGCCGATCGAAATGAGAGAAAGAGAGAGAATGGTTGAGAGAACCGTGCAGATCTTAGGTTATGAAAGCAAGGGTACTTTGGTCATATTTGAATTAATTAAGTGGTATTTTTAAAAATGGCAAGCAAAAAGGGGCAATGTTAAAAAAGGGTGTGTGAAACAGGACATTATTAACAATTTCTCATTTTTTTATTTTAGATATATCAATTATAATATTTTACATTTTATAACTTAACATTTACAATATCCGGTAAAATTAAACAGTTTAACTAAAAAAATGAATTAAACATATTTGAATGCTTATTAAATAACAAACAATATTGCCTTTTTGAATATTCAGCATTTATTCGAATGATTGAAATTTTAAAAAAGAAAACGAAAAAAAGGTGTGTGGGTTTTTTTTAGTTAGGGTATTCCATCATTACTGTAGTTCATATTACCAAATCTGTATTAAAAATCATAATCTTACTCAAATATTTTTTGTTGAGGGATTTCAAATTTAAGGATATTAAGAAATATTTTTTTAATGTTCTTCCTAAGAATTTTGAAAACGGATATAACTAATTAAGATTTTTTTTGTAGAATATTCAAAATAATTATTATTGTTTTTCTAATTCAAAAATAAATATGGCAATTTGGTTGTTACAATTTTTAGAAATAATTGAAAATACTGACAATAATTAACAATTCCAGAATCTACAAAATCTTTCCAAAAAAACAGTTTCAATGTGATTAAGACAGAATTAATTAATCAATTAATGTATTAACATTTAAAGAAATGGCATTCATCCGTAAATACTTCTGAACTTCAGGATTTATTTGCTAAATGTACTCCAAAAATGTATATATAGATTTTAAAGTTAGGAGTTTGTGATGAATCCTTAATTTTTTTTTTTTTTTTTTTTGGTAAGGTCTTTAAAATTTTCTTTGTCCAATGGTAGAGTCTTTAAGTAGGTTTCTTAAAAAAAAAAAATTAAAATGAAAATTATAAACATTTTTATTTGATAAAACTTAATAAATATTACAATTTCCTAAAAAAATTAACATACAAGATATAAAAACATATAAAAATACAAATAAAAAACCAAAATTTTGCCATATACGCTTAACAAAATCAGCTTTTAATTGTTGATGCATAATCCTATCACGAACTCGAGTTCGAATGTCCATAATGTTACTGAGATTTGAAGGCATATTTTATTTTGTCTTTTATTAGTATTTTTGATCCAATCAGAAAACGACACCTATGGGGCTCTTAACAATCCTTAAACCTCTTAACAATCCTTATATTAGAGCCAACTCTTAACAATCTTTAACTTTTCTTTTTTTCATTTATTTTAATTATTTTTAATTTTAAAGATTTTTTTAAGAAATCCATAAAAAATGGTCATTTTTTAGAGTTGAAACACTTAACTTGGTTGTTGAAGTATGTAATCAGTCCAGTCCACCTAAAAAAGAAATTTATAAGAAGTCACCTACAATAAATTAATTTATAAATGATTTCAAAATTTATATTTATTTAAATTTAATTTTATAATTAAGATAAATCGGTATATTGCTTCTTATAGCTTAGTATTGTTATTGGATGCTTATGGTGATTGAACTGTAGATGAACGAAGTTATTCACTTTGTGTCCCATCCACCAAATATTCCTTAGACCCACTTCTCCTGCTCCCATCCCAGCAGCAAAACTTAGACATATATGACTCCATAACTATAACAATCCAATTGCATGTGTAATGATTTAAATCAATCGATTAATGTTTATGATTTATAAAGAACTTTCGAGTCAACAAATGCATGTAAGTCACAAATCTTTTGCATCGATAAAACATATACAACTAAGATTTGGTGTGTTATAGATTATATAAGTCACATCTTGAAATATTTCTGTATCAAGTGTTTGTATAAGATTGGTTGAAATTTCACTCATGGTTCTAAATTTTGATCAAGCTGTAAATTTGTATATCTTTTAGATATCAGTTTTAACCTAAAAAAATCATTTGATCAACTTTTCCACATTAATACGAAGAGAAAAAAATCCAATTAATTGATATTACGGACGAATATCCATTCTGTCAGTAATAACCAACTATACCAACAGTAGTAATATGTTCACCCCATACATATGTTTATACGTGTAACTTACCGATTTTTTTTTCAAAACATGTTTCGCAACAATTTGTGATGGATTCCCGATAAAATATATCAATAATTCAATCATACTATATTTGTCACAAATTCGTTTTAAATTATTGATAACCTTTTTATTTTTTATTTTTAAACTATCAATAATTATATTAGCGACAAGATTCAATATTAATCGATAATCCATTAATCCGTCAAAAAAATACCGGTAATTACATTCTTTGCTTTTAAATTATTTTCGATATTTAGATTAATTTAAGTGGATAAAATGATTTAAAAAAAAACTAAAAAAAAAAGTTGATAAATGTATATGAGGATTTTGATAAAGAATACGTACTCTCCATTTGAAGTTGAATAGAGTGACACACTACTTTCGAAATATGTGTCTTTTGTCTTTTCACATTAATCTATTAATTAGCTAGTCTTCACAAAATAAAAATTAGAACAACGCATAGAAAAAATGCCGACGTTCTTTTTTTTTTTAAACTACAGACGGATCTTCCGGAAGAAAAAAAACAAATGTATAACAAATGACGATAAATACTGTTTACGGTCTGTCAAGTAACCAGCTCATTACCCCCACATGACCAGACTATACATGATCTTTCATTTTAACAAGCTCAACTTAATTAAAAATAATTTCTTTACCTGTAATTAACACTATATATCTATAACGACCTTGAGTCTTGGTCGTGGTAATTATCATTATTATCTCCCGACCAGCCGAAGAAATTGCTGATCCCATCGGACGCGGTCGTTTTATCTTTACCGTCGCCGGTGCAGCCTTGAGAAAGCAACATGCTTAGAGAATCTCCTTCTAGCTCTTCAAGATCTGCGAAGAAATCATCTGGCTGGTGCTGATGATCATGAAGCTCCGGTATATACGGAGCAATCTGATTATCCTCATCGTCTTCTATGTTTTCTAACTGCATGTCGTCCTCTCGTTCATCTTTAACGGCGGAGGATGAGAGAGAAGGAGGAGGAATGGTGGAGGAAGACAAATATATGGTGTTTTGGGAGCCAATGGATGATGAGGTTATGTTTGCGGTTGAGGGTTTGGAAGGATTAGGGTTAGAGGAGGAGGAGGAGGAGCGTGTGGAGCCAGCGAGAGCGTTGCGTTGAATGGGCCAAGGATGGTTATGTTCGGAGGTATATGTAATCACCAACATGTTAGGATCGGTTCGGCTCCTTTCGACTTGCTTTCTTGCTGAACAACCTTTTGAGCTGCTGCATCTATAGTAACCCCTGAGAGCAATTATATATATATATATATAAGTATTCATTATGATTAGCCAAACAAATCCATTACAATTACATGAATATAATTATTTTGATTGGTAAAAAACCATGAATCATGAAATTCATCAAGCATATATATCATTCTGTATATATACAATATATATAGAAAGATAAATTGAAGGATGGTTAAATGTTTTTGTTTAAATTTTGTTCTTTTTAAAACCAAAAAATGTTAAATTAAGAACGAAATTAATTAGTGAGAATTTTGTTTTGGTTTAATTTTGTCATTAATAAATTTCACCAAAATTAACATAATGGCTGACTTGTAATCGTAATTTTAATATTTGTAACAACTTGTCAAGAGAAATATTATTTTCATTGGTGGGTATATTGTAAACCAAATGTCACAATTATCAAGAGAAATGTTGTTACAAGTTACAACATAACGAATATTTGTAACAACTTGGGAGCCAAGAAAAATGTGGTTGTGAAAGAATCTTTAATAACGAATATTATCATATTTATCATACTATGATTATTTAATGTACGTAGTACCTTGGAAAAGGAGAGCCTTTGATGGGTTTCTGACCGTACTTACGCCAAGCCCATAGATCAGACGGAACCACTTCTCCGCTTGATCGGCTGTTCATTGCAGCCGGCGCCGGTATACACACCACCTTCTTTGCCTGACTCTTCCTGCATATACAAGTATATACATCCATACTTACAAACGTGTGGCTTCTAATCTATATATATATATACGCTACACGTGTGTATATATGTAAGTTGTGAAAGCTAAGTTTGATAGTGGACATTATTATCAGTTGGGTTTGAGATATGATGTAACGCAGTTATATGTTCTTTTAATTTAATTGTGACAGTTCATAGATTCTCCTGCATGTGTCTTCAACCTCAACCCTCCTTCCTCTGATGAATCTAAAACAATCATATATATATATATATATATATATATATAGTGTCTATATACACACAAATTCATGATTATGATATTGATCATGATAAAAGACAAAAAAAAAACCCTATAAAAAACTCAATAAAGGGAAGTGTCACACAAACCATAATGCATATTCTATTATTAGCAAATGCATGCATCCAACTTTTTCCGAATGTTTATAGCGATTGATAGTTTCCTAGAAACCTAGCTACCAAGTGGCCTAGAACCCTAATTCACTCTACTCTATATGATATCATAAAAATAATGTAAATTGGATCCCAATTATTTTATACATATAATAACTCAAAACCATCTTTGATTAATTTAATATAATATATATAAAGCTAACAATTAATGAATGATTAGATCCAAGATCAAGAAAAGTTAATATACTAAATTTTGTACCTTCTTTTAAGGCCTAGATTCCGAGGGGAAGATATCTGAATCTGCGACGAGAACGTGTTACCATCGACCAATAGACAGTTTCTAGGACTGTTTGTGTCTACGTTGATGATCCCTCTCGGCGAGGCGGCAGCTGCGGCTGCGACAACGTGAGCCGACATGGCCGGAGAATTACACGGAGAAGAATCATGGATGATGTTACTATGCGAGATCCGGATTCTTGGGAAGATACTACATTGACTCTTTATATGATCCTCCTCAAATACCTTAGGAACCAAGAAACCATTATTGTTGTTGTTGTTATCTCCGGCGTTCGAGAAATAGCTGGAGTTTGTGACGGAGTTGAGTTCTTGGAGGAGAGGATCGTTCATGCTCACAAAGGGATCTCCAAAGGGGTTTATGTGAAGATCTGACGGCGATGGTGGTGGATGCGGCAGAGGAAGAGGCCAGATGTTCGGAGGAGGAGTTTCCGGTGATAACACGTGGCCTCCGATTCCTCGTACAACGTCGGTTAAGTCTCCTTGAAAGTTTTCCATGTCAAGAAGCTCAGAGACGCTGCACATAATCTATAAATGACGACGATTTGGTGTGTATATACAACTATACGAAAGAAACCGATCGAAAATCAAGATAATATGATCATAAAGAGGGAGAGGGAGATAAGCGATAAAAAGAGGAGATTATGTTTCTTGCATAGTATTTGTGAGTGTTTTCTTGGGAAATTTTTTTATTTTCTTGTGAAAAGATTGAGAAGAAGAAGAAGAAAAAAGCTTGATGATGAAGAGAGAGACGCTGACTTTTCGTGATGAGAAGAACATCTTCTACCCCTTCTACATGTTGATGAGAGAGAGAGAGAGATGGAGAGATTTCATAAATATAATATCAACGGATATTAATGTTTAAATTTATGGACGGAAATATATAAAAGTTAAAGTAAGTGAGATACTCTATTTATTAATCATATAGATAATCGGATCGATGGCCAAGTCTTGTACTTTTTAGTTTAGATTATCTTTTTGAGTTTACTTGAGTTTGTGAAGTTCTAATATAATATTGGTTCTTGATTACTCGGCCCAAATAATTCGTTAGAATAGTAGTAATAAATAAACAATAGTACTTCTTTTCTGCCCGCAAGAAGAATAAAGAGATTCATATTATTGTAAGAGAACAATAGCACACTGTTTTTTGATTATACCCGGTCAAGTTTTACTAATCTTTAATTCATTAACGCAATTTGAAGAGAAAGATCTCTCATTATCTTCCATTTTAGATTACGATTTTTTGTCTTGACATAGTTTCATGACAAGATCACTCCAAAAAGAACTTGATCATTCATGTAAAAAGAGAATCATTTAACATCATATGGGCACACACGTATATTTTACGCATTAAATATGGGTATCACTAGCGGAAAGAGAAGTGATGAGTGATAAATCGAGATAAGAGCAGTTTCATTGGGAGGGGAGTGTTTAGATGAGAAACTTCCCATTAAGCAAAAAAAATAAAAGAGGAGAGAAGACAAAAATGTTTATAGTTTGAAAAACTAAAATACTCATTTTTACAGCTGTTTTATGTTGATTGGTTCAAATAATTAAAAATAATTAAATAATACAAAAATTAATATTATTTTATTTCTCAGATATCCAGTTGAGTATGTTTATTTGTTAACCAATGAGAATCTGTCATCCAAACGTTATGATTACATTTCTTTTTGTTGAATAGTTGAAATATGTTTGTCAGATCTATGAAAAAAATTTCTATTGAAAAATAAAATATTGCAGTTCATTTGTATTCAATTTTTTTTTTTTTTTTGATAAAATGTTCAACGTATTCTATATTTAAATGTTATATGGTATATAATGTGCTTGTCTTTTTCATTGGATTTCGATTTTTTTTTTTTTCTGTATAAAATATAACTAAACACCTTAATTAGATGATCATAATACGTCAACCCATCACAACAATATGTGAGATAATATATTAAAAAAGAGTATATTTAACAACTTCGCACAAGAACAAGTAAATGGCTAGAAAGTATATTAACCGTATAGAGAGGAATCATATCTATACAAATATATGTGGGGATAACATAAAGAAAGTATTAAGATTTGAATATTTTGGTCGACTTCATGATGAACACTTATGCCCACGTTCGTTCATTACAACTCCATCAATAGTTTTAAACTACAATGATCCACTTACAAAAATCTCTCTCTCTCTCTCTCTCACACACACAGACATATACAACTAGAATCTAAATATATAAATTAAAATAAATTATAAATTTGAGTCGAGAAAAATGGTCTCTCTAGGTTCGTCCGATCCATTAGATTGGAAATTCTCATGCGAGTTAAACAGAAACACATCAAAAATAGCACGTCATTAAAAGATACATAATCAATCAAATTTTTAACTATAATCAAATAAATTATGCACGAAGTTAAAACCAGTGGAGCTGGTTCCCAAGAATATATACATTCGAAAAGGGCCGGGGTACAATGTGATGCCTATACACAATAACACAAGCTTTCTATTATTATTATTTGGATATAATCACTTACCTTGAGACTATTGTGCACTCGTTCTCTTTGTAAATTGATTAAGATTAGGCTTTTAGGGTGATAACGATGTTTAAGTAATGAGTTATTGGGCTTCGTAGTTCGTAGCATGTAACCTTCTCTAAACACGTGTGCATAAATACTGACTTTACGTGCAATCTATCCATGGCCCTTTAAATACTCCCCAAGTTCATTACTTAAAAAAAAACCCTAGTCACACTCTTACTTCATGAAATCTTAAGTTACTTCAATTCTGTCGGTTTACTATTAAATATTTGGACAAAAAAAATTCTTAAAACTGTAGGTTAGTGAACTTGATTGTTTTTAAAAGATTTGTAGTTTTAAAGAGAAAACTTTAAAACTTGATTGTTTTAAAGTTCAATATTAAATTATCTAGATGATTATTATTGTCTTTTGTTTACCTTTTTTGTTCAATTTAATTTTCTATAATTTAACTTAATCTTTTGCATTTTATTAAAACAAAATTTCTGTTAATTGTTAGTATTATAAATATAAATAGGTAGCGTTTTAAATAAATTTTAATGTATGATTATTTTAGTTTAGGCGGACACCTTCGAAATAGAGAAAACTCTCTATGTATAGTTGCATTCCAATCTAAAAGGCAAAAAAACCACAAATGAAATTATGGTCTAGCTAGCGTACTATGACTTTGCAACTGAAGTAATCGAAATATAATGGCTTAGATGTCGTAGTAGTTGTGTCTCCCTCGTCTAGTAGAAAATACAAAAGTCAAAGAAAGAAAATATGTGTATAGAACAAAACAAAAAGGCAAAGAGTATTGGATCCATAATGATTGGTAAAATTCAAAAAGAAAAAAACAGATCTCCAGGATTGTCAAAAAGATAAAAGACTAAACGGTGAAACAGAAAAAACAAAGTAATTGCAGAGTGGAAATTAAGAACATGATTTTTTTTTTTTTTTTTTTTTTTTGTCAGATAGCTTTGGTTCTTTCTTCCTTTGTTGTGTCAGTACGTTCCATTACATAACTATTACTTTCACTCTCTTTTGTTTTTTTTTTTTGTTTGTTTTATTAAAAAGAAAATCATAAATAAAGTGTTTTATTCGGATTGACAATTCGAGAAAAGGTGAGGCAACAGTTCAATGGAAAAGAAACGATTTGACTAGTTTTGGATGTTTTCTAAAAATTCGAGAAAAAATGTTCACCGGAGCTCGAATCTCAGCTGGATTATTATTCGATTTCAACTCAACATGTAGTTACCAATCAAGGCAAGTCCAAAGCCACGCTTATGTACATAATGTTTATTTCCACGCTTATGTATGTAAATATTTAGAAATATAAAACAATTATAAAAGAGCAAACAAGGTTAGATAATTGGGATTGTATACCTATAAAGTTTCCTATATGCATTTTGGTTTTAATTCTCTTTTGAATGTTCACTGTTTTTACATTACATAGATACATGTATGAAAAGATGAAAAATTTGCAATTGAAGGACAATGACTACCCTTTTTTTTTTTTTTTAATTTTGCTTGGTTTGTTGTTAATCACTTTAAGTTTTCCCTTTTGATGATCATCTCCGGGAAATATTGTGCGATTGATTCGGATGTGAAAATGGTGATCCGGAAGAGCCTCTAGATCCCTCAGAGTAAATAGGTGAATCAAGCAAATCCTTTAAGGCTTGATTCTCAGGAGAAGGATACGGTGTTTCTGCGAGAAAGAAAAAGAAAAAGAATTGAATCTTCAATAGAAGCTAAGACTAAAGTTTTGAGACAAAGTTGAAGTTTAGCAAAGTCTTTGTTATTTTTTTACCGAACAGTGTCTTGAGAGATGGTTTCTTTGCTGTCTTACTCTTACGCTTCAATTCCGCTGTGTAGATAAAGTTCAATAATGATTAATGAGCCTGGTTAGATATAACCAACTCCGGCCAAATTTGTTCAAATGAGAAAAAAGTAACTAACCCATGCCAGGAATATTGTGTTCATCAACGATCTCAATATTCTTGAATGTATAACCAAGAAAATTTACATCTTTTGATGAGATCATCTGCATATATATAACTTAGTAAGAATGGTAGAACTTGATTGAATGTACTGCGAAGAAAACAAATGAAATGTATATATATATATACCTTTCTCCAAGGGCCAGACTTTGAAGAAGTTTGGCAAGTAGATGGCACCTGTAAATTAAAATATTAATCGATATATCGCAAAGACAGAAAAGCAAAAAAAAAAGGGCTGAGAATTATTAGAAGAAAGAAGTAGATGGTACTGAACAAACCTCATCAAACTTTTCAAAGTTTTGGGTATCAAGCTCATGCTTCACTTGTGGTATATATGGAGCATTTGACTCATATAGCCGTTCCCATTCGATTCCTCTAAACCAAGGGTGTGCCTTTTTGATGGGAAACAAATCAGACATCTTACGTGCAAAAACCATTTTAGAATTAAGCAACTTTGTCTTGAAAGGAATGAGAATAATGGTTTAAGTACTTTGATTTCATGAACTCCTTTGGTTCCAAGCCTCTGTTCAACATTGCAGAGAAGTCTTTGGATGAGATCTTTTACCTCGATGGAAAGCTTAGCTTCATCAGGGAATTTCAAGCAGGTTTTCCAGTTTACAATCTGCAGAGATAAACTGAGCAATTGTTTGATAAATATTATACTAGTCAAACGTAGTAGGGATAGGTCTTGGATCATATGCCATACCAAAAGATGGCTCACAACTATACTCTAGTCCAGTTAAATGATAGGCTAATTTTGAGGTAAATCATCAGGACTCATGAATATTCTCATGAATAAACTGGGCAACAATGTACTAGCAGGATATTTAAGCCAATTTATGCATACCTTTCTACAAGTTGCCAAAGGCTCTTCGGAATAGAATGGCGGAAACCCTACGAGCATCTCAAACATGATTGCTCCAAGAGACCACCTATTGCAAAACAGTTTTTAGAATATCAACTGAATAAATTATTTTGTAGAGTGTAAAAGAGAAGGGTTCTGGTTCACTAACCAATCGCACTCCATTCCATACCCTTTCTTCAGCAGCACCTCAGGGGCAATGTAATCAGGAGTGCCTACGGTAGAAAAAGCCTGAACAGTACACGAAACAGCCATCTTATTATGCACGGACTATATGGAAAGGTCACATAAATAACTAAAATAGGACACTTCCAAGGAGATTAAGGCACAAAAATAAAGTAGTTATATAATTTACTTCTCTAAGTAACAGAAAAACATGCCATTACACTTCATTCTAAGTTGGAAAAGAATCGTTCTTTATGGAATACTTCAGATGAACTTCAGGTCAGCATCCACCGAAGATAGAGATATAAGTGAATCTAGTCCATACCAGGGTCCTTCTGTTTTGTTGCCAATGTAAAAGCTGTTCCTGCTGAGTTCGCCTAGGTGCAGAAGGAGGCTTGGAGAGTCTGTCATATTCTGCTGCAGGCTTTGCATTCCTGTCAACAAGCTCCGCCTTAAAATCTGGAAAATTTTTGCTCTCCAGAGACTTGCTCAATCCAAAATCTGAAAGCTTGATATGGCCGTTACGAGTAATCAATAGATTATCAGGCTTTATATCCCTAAAAAATCAAAGGAAGAAACTAGAGTTAAACTATCACCACATATCAAGTGAAAGCTAATTTACAAGCACTGTACGAAAAGATACAAAAGGAAGCAAAAATAGAAGATTGTCTACAAAGATTCAACATTGTAAGGAATTTGATTAAATGTCAAGTAAGATGCAAACACGGAAAAAAAAGAACAATGTGAAAAAGCTTCAAATGCCAGTTGTTAGAACCTGTGGACGTAATTATGCTTATGGATAGACTCAATAGCCAGAATTGTCTGTGCAACATAAAAACGAGTCTCATCTTCTCGTAAGGTATCCTTTCGCATCAGCAGTGTCATCATATCACCTCCAGGGAGGTATTCCATAATAAGGTACAAATGCTCATCATCTTGGAAGGAGTAGCAAAGCTTGACGATGAAAGGACTATCCACTTCTGCAAGCACATTTCTTTCAGCCTTAACATGTTCCACCTAATAGTTACCGCACAAAAGAGGGGATTATTGTATTTACACGGATGTCAATGAATTGCCAATTTAATCACAAATGAACTCTTGGATTTATAGAAATGCTAACGGACAGTGCATTACCTGCCCTCGTCGAAGCATCTCGGATTTCTTTAGCTTTTTCATTGCATACACACTGCCAGTAGATTTTTCTCTACAAATTCTCACCTGGACAGAAATGACATATATTATTAAATCAACACCACGTAAGATTAATAAGATAGGCAACCACAAAAACAAGTGAAGAGATATACCTCACCGAAAGCACCTCGGCCAATGATACTCAGCAATTCAAAGTCATCAACCCCCATTTTCTGTCTTTGTAGACGCATATACTCCATTTCCTTTTTCTCAAAATTCTTTAATATATTCATCTTGTCTTCAACAGGAACATCAGCATCAGCTAAGTTTTGCTCCAAGATGCTCCGACTGTATTCAAGAGCGAGCTGATATCAGAAGGTTCAATCTAAACCAGTAACAGATTAATTCCGGTGTCTAGAAAACAAAGTCGGAAATCACAGCAGAAAAATAAAACTAGTCTCAAGTTCCACTAGTAACAACCAAAGCACAAGAGTACATAAACGAGTCACAGGAAGAATCGAACATACCGCTCTTTTCTTTCCTGGAGACTCTTCTTCTGAGTTTTATAATGATTCTCGATATATTGCTTCGCCGCAGCAACTTTCTGTTTAGTAGCATTAGATGGTGCATCATTCATAGGAGGTCTGCCAATATTCTTCACATTTCCCTCCTGTCCCCTTTTAGTAGGACTGGATTTATCGGGTTTCTGCTGCCGTATCTGGAACCAACTCCTCGTAGGTTCCGTTGTCATTTCAATCCAATATAATAAAATCGATACAGATCACTTCATAAAAACCTGCATAAAATCAAAACGAAATTCCTACGGCTTACTGATTGGTACATCACTCCAAATCCAAAAACCCAAATCTCACCGTAAATTCCGGAAACAAGATAAAACTTTCACTTCGAGTTAACGAATCCTACACACGAATCGAGTCTAATCACTCTAACATAGATACACATAAATCAAGTTCTGGATCACACACGCATGCATTCGAATCAAAACTTGTTTATAATCAAATAGTTACAAAATCAAATTCCAAACCAGATATGAACGAACAACGAAACCTCCATGCGAGATTGGAGAAGAAGAAAACGAAAAGTCAAATTATTCGCAAAGAAAAAGTAACTCGATCGGAGAAGATGACAAATTTCGCGAAAGGATCAAAGAAACTTACATCAACGAAACAACAAAATCAGAGATTTGATTTTTAGCACTCGCTCGAATTCGAACTCTTGCTTACACGCATTCACTTGAAAACGGAAAATTTATTTAATTAAAAAGATCTCAAAAAGGAGAGCAAAACGGATTACGAACTAATAACGTTTTTGGTGTAAAGGGTATTTTAGTCAATAGTTATTTTATCTGGAAGCAGTAAACGCCGTTAAAGTTACAGTCACGATGACTCGGTGGCTGATTAAAAATTTAAAACCAATACCGGTAAACCGGTTTTTAACTATTCCCGGATAGTAATCGGCTCATTTAGAGGAAAGCTAAGTGACACATGTCAGTAATTTGTTGGATTTGTTTGTCGACAAACGTGACAGCACGATCGCACGGAGTGGTTTTCAACGGGGTTGTTAACGTCATTAGAACAACTCCCGCGCGAATTGGATAAAAACGCGTTTTATTGGTAAGACAACATAGTCACCGTTCGTATGTAGGACACGTGTAAAGAGAAGCACAGTGCGAACTATTGGGTCACCGAAAAGCCCATTGGGCCGAAAATAGATCACAATGGGTGTCAATTGTAACATTCAAAATGTATGGGGCTTTATGTACAGTACATTTTTTTTTATTTTTCTCCACACTTCAGTTTTCTCTATTTTGGAGTTAGACACGGATCTGTGAGATCTAGAGGAAGAAGAAGAAGAAGAAGCTGAGACAATGGCATCCATGGCAGGACCAGATCATCTCTTTAACCTGAGAAACCATTTTTACTTGGGAGCTTATCAAGCGGCGATCAACAACAGCGAAATCCCTAATCTTTCGCAGGAAGATATCGTCGAGCGAGACTGTCTCGTCCATCGCGCTTACATCGCTCTCGGAAGCTATCAGGTTTTGCCTCTAATCTCGAGTTTTTCGATTTGGATTTCAATTTGTTTTGATCATTTGGTGATTTACGTTTTTCAAATTTCGTCTTCGTAGCTTGTCATCAGTGAGATCGATGAAGCGGCTGCTACTCCTCTACAGGCAGTGAAACTCCTTGCTATGTATCTAGCGAGTCCTGGAAACAAGGTAATTCTGGAGATTTTGAAATGTTCGATTCATGTTTTGTAACGTTTGCTTAGCGGAATTTCAGATAACTTTTCTATAAATCTAGGATTCTTTTGATTGTGTAGCTTTAGAGATCTGAAATTGAATTGTTCTTCATCTTAAGTTTGTGGTATGCATTGTTGAATACAGAGTTGTTTCTGTGATTTTGGTTAGGAATCAACCATTTCGAGCTTGAGAGAATGGTTGGCAGATCCAACTGTAGGAAACAATGCTATTATTCGGTTGATTGCTGGTACTATATTCATGCATGAGGAAGACTATAACGAGGCTCTGAAGCACACTCATTCTGGAGGAACCATGGATCTGTGAGCCTTTCGATTTGTGTTGTTAGATCTTGTCACAGTGATTGTTTTTATGTCTAAGTTCTTTTCGATTACTCGATAATTGATTGTTGTTTCTGCATATTTTAGGCATGCTTTGAATGTCCAGATATTCATAAAGATGCATAGATCAGATTATGCAGAGAAACAGCTAAGAGTGATGCAACAGATTGATGAAGACCACACACTCACTCAACTCGCGAGCGCTTGGTTGAACCTGGCAGTAGTATGATATGAATATCCATATCGTTTTTCTATATAGTGTAGAGAATATTTGTTAATGTGTTTCTTAATATTAAATTGTTGCGTATGATCTCAGGGTGGTTCCAAAATACAGGAAGCTTATCTAATCTTCCAGGATTTCTCTGAGAAGTACCCAATGACAAGTTTGATCTTGAACGGCAAAGCAGTTTGCTGCATGCATATGGGTAATTTTGAAGAAGCTGAGACTCTACTACTTGAAGCACTCAACAAGGTGAGTGATGAACCTACTCTTTCTTACCTGAAATCTGTATCGACGCAATCCATTCTCAATATCGTGTCATCGGATATCCGCCACTCGCTTTATCAACTATGTGTTTACCATATCTAAATTATTCAACTATTCGTATATTGGAAAATGGATAAGTTTGAAAACATAGATGTTTATGCTCATTGCAGGATGCTAAAGACCCAGAAACTCTTGCAAACCTAGTTGTATGCAGCCTTCATGTCGGGAAATCATCTTCGCGATACCTAAAGTAAAAATATTTATGACCTTGTGCAATTTTTTCATAACGGTGCATCAGTAAGCTGACTTATTCCTCCATTTCTGATCCATTTGCAGCCAGCTGAAACTTTCACATCCAGAACACGTCCTTGTGAAGCGAGTAGCATCAGCTGAAGATAACTTCGAGAGAGCTCTTCAATCTTTCGCCTGAAGGACCTCAAAATCCATGGAATCAATTTGCTTTATAATCTACCAGCAGAACATCATATTCTTACCAGCCCTGTCTTGAAATTATCATATATGAACAGTTTTTTTTTTTTTCCATCGGATATGTTGCATTTGAATTTGATTTCTCACTGAAGCTTTTGTTGTCATTGAGTTTCGAATCCAACAAAACTAGAGATCTTGTTCCTTAATATCCAGAATCTCCATAACTGATGAGACAAAAGCCAGACTTGTGCAAACGAAACATTCACTAATGCATGTAACATTAGAGCTTAGATCTAGTTTTTGCCCATGTTTTAAAAATCGCTAGGCGCTAGTCGGGCGCTCGGGGTGGGCCTAGCGCCTAGCAAAAAAATCGGAGATTAAACGGGGATTAATCGGGGATTAGTTTTATGATTTTTTAATCATATATATAACATTTATGCAAAATTTATTAATATGTTGGTGTGTTCAATATTATAGTTTGAAGAAATTCTACTCAAAATTTAGTAGTTTTATTAACAATATTTTAAATATCTAAATTACACTTTTTGGTTTATTAACAAGATATTTTTTATTATTTTTTCAAAATAAAATGAGGCAAGGTAAGAGATTATGCACTCAAAACAAAATAATATAATTAAAAATAATAATGGGAGAAAGAAACCGTAAGCATGTAATGTTGGAAGAAGAAAAAGACAAAAGCATGTAATATAAAAGTCCCACATCGGTAAGGTGAGTAGGAGTTGTGAAAACTTTGCTTATATAAATAGAAGTTGAGGGTTCACCTTTTAAACAATCAATGGGCTTCGAGTAATTAAAGCCCACAACGATTTTAAAGAAGTCCAGTTTTTTTTTTTTTTTTTCCATTCATCCGTTGATTTTCCGATTTTCAACGATTAATGGTTAATTAATCGGTCAACGATTAAAACAGCCGATTTGGCTATAATCGCGGCGGTTGAGCTGCGCCCAGCGCCTAGGCGGGCGATTAATCGCCTAGGCGTCCGCGTTTTTGAACAGGGGTTTTTGCTAACAAATAAAAGCCAGGATAGCTATATTATTGGACTAATGAATAAATATTGTGAGAGGTACATATACTAATGAATGGCTGCTTCCTAAAAGAACCTAAAGCCATTACAAAATGAATATCAATAAAAAATCTCGTCATGTGATCTCATTTTTTTGTATCATATGGATAATATATCTTATGTTATATTTATATATAAAACCATCTTCTACGCTTCTCTCCTCAATACCATCTGGAATCAAAATCTCCATCCATCACTATAGCAATGAACAAAGTCAGTAAACCGAGACCGATGAGGTTAACCCGTAGCCATTACGGTGCAGCTTCTGCCATCTCCATGCAGTCTCAAGACTCTCTTTGAGATTAGTGTGCTTAGCTGTCCAATTAAGTTCCTTCCTGATCTTGCTCGGGTCACTGTAAACCTCAGCGTAATCACCTGCACGCCTAGGCAAGTATTCGATCTTGATCTCAACACCAGTTGCTTTCTTGCACGCCTCAACAAACTCTTTCACCGAGCTACCTACTCCGCACACAACAAAAAGTCAAAAACACAGTATTTAATAAATCCATTTGCTAAATAGCAAGAGTTTTTCTTCGGTACAGTACTAAGGTATGCCAGAAGTCAATAGTACCTTTCCCGGTGCCAACATTGTAGATTCCAACTTTACGGGGTTTTGCCTTCTGAAGAGCTTTAACATGAGCATCAACCAAGTCAGTGACATCAATGTAATCACGTACGCAAGTTCCATCAGCGGTTTTGTAGTCTGTTCCTTTGATCTGGGGATAAACCAACGAAAAAGAAAAGTTCAATGAAGATCAATGATTAGAGAAGCTTGAAAGCTTATACCCACGTGAATGTAAAAGTAGACTAATTTAATCTTTACTTTAATAAAGGAAACTCAAGAATAAGTTGTCTCAATTATGTATTTTGCTCAGCTGTAAACTACTTATCAGCTTTTTTGCAAACATTTTTGAACATGTTCTACAGCATGTGCCAGCCCCAAGTTATAAACAAAAACAAAAGACACAACTTTTAGGAAATGGATTAAGAATCTAATAGTGTGCCAATCTGTGATGACTTGTCCAAGGAATAATAGTCAAGACCCTGACAAAAACTGAAAGTGAAGCTCTGGGAAAAACCTGACAGAAGTTCAGAAAAAGTTCATGAACTCAAAGAAAATGATTACCTGTAGGCCAGGCATGATGCCACGTGCTGCATCAAAGCAAGCACCGGAGATGCGTCCATGCTCACGCAGCTCAGGCCTTGGGGCTTCACCCAATCTGCCCTCTGGATCGGACCCAATCACATTGAAATATCTGGAAGAAAGCGAACCTTGTCAATTTCATGGGAAGTAAAAAAAATCCATTGAAACACTTGATAGAACTTAAAGGAGTATCAATAAAACAAACCTTAGGATCATAACTGCCATATTTGAGTTTTTCGAGAAATCCAAAATGATATCTTCTGCCATCTTCTTGGCCTTACCATATGGATTGATTGGCACCTGAAATGACGTGTATTGGGGTTAGAGCGCATAAAAGAAGAACCGTGGCTATTAAACAATTGACAAACCAAATTTCACCTGAGGAGTTTCCTCTGTAATTGGCATAGTATCAGGCTCCCCATACGTTGCACAAGTGCTTGAATATATCAAAGTCTTTACTCCATGAGCGGCCATTGTCTCTAATACGACCAAAGTGTTCGATGTAATATTGTGATAATACCTGTAATAGACAGAAAACAAAGTTACTTGTCTCGAATTCACACAACAGAAAAGATCATACATTTCCACAAGGGGAAATAGTTCAATATACTCACTTAAGAGGGAATTGTGTGCTTTCCCCAACATATGCAACAGCGGCGAAATGCATTACAGCGTCAAAGGCGTTCTCTGTGAATATCTTGTTGACAGCCTTTGCATCTCCAAGATCAGCATAAATAAATTGAAGCCTTCCAGGTTCAGGAAACAGTTCTTGCAAAATCTTGACTGCGCCAAGATTCCCACGTGATAGATTGTCCTGTTAAACAGAAAGAGATTTACTTAATTGTGATATCGACATTCAAAATAATGCTGGACAAAGGAACTTAAATCCATGTAAGCCAAAGAAGATACCACAATGGTCACTCGGTATGATTCCTTTAGAAGCCTTAGAGCTGCATGTGAACCAATATAACCAGCACCACCAGTGACTAAAACATGTGTAACCCCTGGCTCATGTCGAGAAAACTGCAAAAAGTAAACACAGAACAACAAAAATGAAGAAACCATTAAAAAACTTGAGCAGTGCTTCACCAGTAACATCCTTCTTTCTCTAAAAACTCGATCAAAGGACAATAAGAAGTTGTACCACGCTCGGAGTATTGAACGTTGGAGATTGCTTTAGCATGAAAATGCACAAGGCTGTAAGAGAGGCTGTCAAAAGAATCTTTCCCAAGTAATTGTTTTTCTTCTTCGGGTCTGCATAATCCAATCCTACATTCCCAAAATCACCAAGATCTGTTACATTTTGCATCCACATTGAAAAAACCACAAAAGCTTCACCCTTAAAAGCTCCAAACCCCAAAAAACTTCAAGTTTATCATCAACCAACCTAAATTTCCAAACTAAATTCTCAAAAACCACTCAAAATTTCAGAGCTAACTGAAAACTTACACACAATCACACTAGATAAACTATTTCCTCAGTGAAACCAATTGCAGTAATCAAGATAATTTCTCACCTCCAAGAGACATAGATCTGTTTTGCCTCCCTTGGCTTCTTGCTCGACCAAAATTAAACATTTTGATTCACTTCAGCTCGCGGAAACAAACACTAGATGTAATTTGATCAGCACCACCCTAAATCAGCTGCAAAAGACCAAACTTTGAATTATTTTCTACAAAACCCCAAAAAGTGAGAACTTTCTCAAGATTAAATTATCTCTACAAAAACAACCTTAGCCACAGAACTCAAACAGAGAAATGCACAAAGAAGAGTTAAGATGGCATTGACAAGAACCAAATAATGAAATTTTTATCCGAAAACCTTAGAAATTAACTGAGTTACATAGCAATTTAAAGATGAAAACTTTCAAAATTTTGCCGGAAAACATATTTGAATTAAAAGACTTGGAAACATATAAAAAAGAAACCCAGATTGGGAAACTCTTGTCGGAGCAATGTCGGTCCCATGACAAAATGACAAATGCAAAAAACATAAATATCTAAAATGAAAATAAGACTAACCCGAATAAATTAAAAAGTGAAATTCAGTAAGAAAGATCCTGATTTCAGAGTTAATAGAAAACCCTAGAAGAGAAAGGTAATGGGAAGAAGAATTCTCAGAAGAAGCAGAAACGGAAGAAGGAAAGAAAACGCAGAGACTATGCATAAAAAAACGCCAAAATAAAAGAAAACCCAATAAGAAGAAACGTACCTGGAAGAAGAAAACAAAAAGAGGGGCATTAATGGCGGCTCACGTGTATCAACAGCAGCAGGGTTTGTGTACAGAAAACAGAGACGAACCAACCACAAGTCGAGGAGATAGATGATCGAAAGCGTGACTAAGAAAGAGAAAGGGTTCGAATTTTCTTGTGGGTTGTGAGAAAGATTCAATTTTGTTCACTTTAAAGGTGAAGAATTTAGAGAGAGAGGAAACGTACGATGTGGAAAGAGAGTAGTGCGACCTCGTAGACGCGTTCCGGTGAGAGCGATGAAAGAGAGAAGAGGAGATGGCGGAAATTCCTCGGTCTTTTAAGAAAAATAAAATTAAAGAAATGAGGAATTTTTTGTAAAAATAAATACTACTAATAAGATAAAAATATATTTGACTTTTTTGTCAGCTTTTTTTTGGCTTTTAGATTCTTTTGATATGAACATGACATGTAGCAAGAATGATGGCGCAGTCTGCAGATTAATTTATATTTTATAATCAAGATTATTAATTCAACCGGCTAATTTTCTATTAACATTTCAATCACATATTTTAAAGAAAATATTGTGTGTGCATAGTGACATTTTTTTATTGATACCGGTGTTCTAGTGACCCTGCTAATCAGAAATAAATATTTGGTGTATTTGATAAAATATTTCGGACCAAAATCTAATAGTTCAAGTGGTCATACTCATACATCGTGTTACGATATTTATGTTTTGAACTTGATTTTTCAAATTCATAGTTGATTTTTATGGTGTGGATTGTGGAATGTTCTTAGAGTTATGTTGACCGTTCTTCATATTCTTGGTTGAATATTCATTGCATTTTTTTTAGTATAAATTGTTTTATCTTGGGTAAATGTGGCATATTGGTATGGTTAAGTTGAGATGTTTTTTCAATAAAATGTGTTTTGATACTCCTGAGTGATTGTGGCATGATTACTAATGCGTCTATGCAAGATATTTAAGTGAATGAATGGTTAAACTGTAAAAATGGACTAAGTAAACAGCAGATTGAAACTGAATAAGCTAGTTAATGATGTATAACATGATCATGAGATGGTGAAAGTGGTAAGTGATGGGTTTTGGACTTTGGACATTGCGATGTGTTGAACTACGGGTTTGAAAATTATGAAAATCGAGCTTTATCAAACTATCCCTTCAAAGATTTTTATTATCGAAATTTGCCAGAAAAAGTTGAAAAACTGTGAGTCTTCTTGGTCCTCTTTCTTGTACAAGATCAAAGAGTCTGTCAGTTGAAAGCTAGTGGAACTACCAGAGAAGGGTAGATGACTAGATTCCCCATTTTATAGCTCAACTTCTTAAATTATGTACAAGGAATTCATGTTTTCTTCACTTATTATATTACATGTTCAAAATTGTATTTTAATTCTAAAATGAATTCTAATAAAATACTAATTTGTATTCTAAAAAAAATCGATGGCTAGACATAATAATAGTACTAGGTTTTGTGGGAGATAACATAATTTTTTTTTAGTTGGGAGCTTTGTACGTACTAATGAAAATACTCCAATAGTAAGTACATTATTAAGTAATTGAGGTTATTTTCTAGGGAAGAGCCTTTATAGGGAGGGGAAAAGCACGATTAGCCAATAGAATTGCCGCACTTGTCATTGCGACGATTACTGGGCGTGGAGACCAACACCATCGAGCTGACATGTCGGCCAGAATTTCATTTAAGTGCTTTTGTCATCACAAATGATTGTAATGGCAAAATGAAAAACATTTTTATTTTTGATATACTGTATTCTTTATGTTTCTGTTTATAGTTTTTATTTACTTACTTACTTCATTAAAAAAATTAAATGCGTTTAGAACCAAATAATTTGTTTTCAATAATCATTTTTTATTATGTTTAAAATAATACTCAATCTGTTTCGAAATATAGGATGATTTTTTAGTATTTTTATTTTGTTTTAAAACATATGATGTTTTATAACTATAAACATATGAGTATATTTGATTAAAAGCTGTTGACAAAAAAAAAACATATGGGTATATTTGATATTTTGTGGCTGTTTATATTCTGCGATATTTTTTCTAATTGGTTAAAATTTTTAAATCATATATTAAATGATAGTTTTAAAAGAAAAACTAAACTTTATTAAAATGTGTGCTTTTAACCAAAACATCATATATTGTGAAACAGATGGAGTAACTTTTATAGCAGCATTTGAATTTTTGATCATCAATGAACTAAAAAATTTATTCGGTGTTTAATGAATATTATTAAGTAAATGTAATTTGTAAAATATAATATGCTTTAGATTTATATATTGAGAAATATTTTGTATATGATTTGATAAAACATGCCAATTTGAATTTAGATAAACTAATTTTAGAACTTGTTTTCACTAATTTGTAGTTAAAAAAAGCTTGTTAATTTGGCTTTTGGGAGCTAGGAAGCACGGAAGCTCCGTCCGTAGTCCGATTCCCGCTTCGGAAGCTAAAACGGAATCGGAAGCTTCAGGAAGCGCCCGGAAGCGTGGTGGAAGCGCGATTCCGAAAAAAAAGAAATCGGAAGCGTTTTGGAAGCTATGATTCCGTTTAGGAAGCGTTCTATTTTTATGCGATTCTGATTTTGGAATCATTATTAAGGAAATATTTAGGAAGCGTGATATATTTTTTGTATTTCTTAATTAAATATGAAATTAGAAAACCCTAATTACAGTTTACTAAACAAGAGAATACCAATCGTGGCTAAATTTCGTCTTTGGCAAAACTCTTGTTGGGATTGACCCATTTGATTGGCCCTGCAAAAGAGAAAGCTAGGTTAGTGATGATGAAGAACAAGGAAGTTCTGAAGTAGAACAAGAAGAAGAAGTTGTCATGGTTGAAGAAGAAGAGAGGTCAACTAAAGAAGAAGGAGTCAACGTAAAAAGAAGATGTGTTTTGAGTTAAGAGATGGAGTGGGCCTAAGTGGTTAAGGTGTGGCCCAACAAAAGAAAGGTATTGTCTAATGGGTCTAACTAAAGCTCATTCGTAGAAGTAATTATAATGTCCAAGTATAACTAAGCGTTAAGTGAGTTGTTGAGAGTGTTTGCTAATGGTGATGAAAATGAAAAGGAAGACAAATCTTTGACTTATGCGTTATGTTTTTTTTTTTTAATCTCTAATCAACTTAATTAAGTATTGGATCTCTTTTATTTAAGACAAGAGTTATTTAATCACATTTGATTATATATATATATTACACGCTTCCAAAACGTACCCATATCATAAATTTTTGAAAAAATCGCTTCCACGTTTCCAAACGCTTCGCTTCCCCGCACCCGCTTCTGATTCCATGCAACTTAGTTGGGAGTGAGATGTGTAATAGTGACCTTTTTTTTGTAATAAATAGCAAAACAAAGCAGGTGTAACTTATAAGAATTGATGACATTTTTTTTTAATGCCAAACTTAGTAACTTGGGGTTGAGTCAAAGAAAAAGAATATAGTATGCATTACCCATATTTAAATTTTAGTGGTGATATTGGTAGAGGGAAAAAACCCGAAAAAACCGCCATCTATTTTTTTTTTGGCCGTTTAATACGTGTGTTTTTAAACTTGGAATAAAAATACCTCATTTAATTTCGATTACCTTTTAAAACTATCGTTTTTTGAAACTCGGTAATTTCAAACCCGAGACTTAACAGTCGTTACTGGACGTAACAGTATTATTTAACAGCGTTAAAATTTAATCCCGTGTGTTTATATAAATATATACCATCTGTTTGCAATACTTACAGCTATACTTAATGTGGCCTGGTGGTAGCAGGTCTCTTTTGGAAAACCACCTGACCTGGGTTCGAGTCGTGAACCTGTTTTTTTTTTTTTTTTTTCTTCACTTCTTCTTCTCAGATCTCTAATGTCCAAAGAATCAAAAAAACATTTCTAAGAATCACATCGGATTTGAAAACAAAATCATGATCTTGTGGGTATTGTGATAACCCATGAACAATTCGGAAAACAACTTTCAATCTGAAAAAAATGAGAGATTTTTGATATTGAAAATTGGAAATCAAATTACAAATCTCTCTCCTTTGCATCATCGGACACCTCTTGGATCTCTTTATTCAATGAAATCTGCTTCGAAACAGCAGATTTCACATCTTCAAACAACACAAATGATCCCAAAACATTCTCCGATTGATTAAGAGAAGGATTCACCAACGTACCATTCCAAAGAGAGAGAAGCGAAAGATGTTGTTGTCTCAGAAGATAAAAAGCACGAAGCTCAGATTCCTTGACACGATTCGACAATGGATCCAGCTTAAAACTCGAGAAATTCGCAGAAAATAGTTCACGAGGACCGGTGAAGAAGACGAAGAACAAAAATAAAAAATAAAAATAAAATAAAATAAGAGGTTGAAGAGTCGAACCCAGCAGCTAAGGTTTGTAAAACCAACGCGCAACCACCAGGCCACATTAACGAACACTGGAAATATTGCAAACAAATGGTATATATTTATATGAACACGTGGAGTTAAAATTTAACGCTGTTAGATAATTCCGTTAAACCCAGTAACGACGGTTAAGTCTCGGGTTCGAAATTATCAAGTTTTAAAAAACGATAGTTTTAAAAGGCAATCGAAATTAAATGAGGTATTTTTATTCCAAGTTTAAAAACACACGTATTAAACGGCCAAAAAAAAAAAAATGGCGATTTTTTCGGGTTTTTTCCCTATTGGTAGATATAATTACAATACAATAATACTTAACCCTTTATTTTCATTGGTTTGAATTCAAATGTTAGGAAATAAACGACAGAAGCTCTCAATAAAAGCAACAAAAACAAAACCTATTTATAATGAAAAAACTGTAATGTGACTGTCAGGTGGGGTTCACATAAACATGGCATAAATCCATGAGATAGCGCCACGTAAGTGTATTGGTGTCTTTAAAAATCTTAAACGACATCGTACGATTGGAATTGGCCT